AGAGGGACCTCGGAGTCCTAGTGGACAATCACCTAAATATGAGCCAGCAGTGTGCTGCAGCTGCCAAAAAAGCCAACACAGTGCTAGGCTGCATTAACAGAGGGATAGAATCAAGATCACGTGAAGTATTAATACCACTTTACAATGCCTTGGTAAGGCCACACTTGGAATACTGCATCCAGTTTTGGTCACCACGATGAAAAAAGATGTTGAGACTCTAGAAAGAGTACAGAGAAGAGCAACAAAGATGGTTAGGGGACTGGAGGCTAAAACATATAAGGAATGGTTGCTGGAATTGGGTATGTCTAGTTTAACGAAGAGAAGGACGAGGGGGGACATGATAGCAGTGTTCCAATATCTCAGGGGCTGCCACAAAGAAGAGGGAGTCAAGCTATTTTCCAAAGTGCCTGAAGGCAGGACAAGGAGCAATGGGTGGAAACTAAGCAAGGAGAGAAGCAACCTAGAACTAAGGAGAAACTTCCTGACAGGTAGAACAATTAACCAGTGGAACAACCTGCCTCCAGAAGCGGTGAATGCGCCAACACTGGAAGTTTTTAAGAAGAAATTGGACAGCCATTTGTCCGAAATGTTATAGGGTTTCCTGCCTGAGCAGGGGGTTGGACTAGATGACCTCCAAGGTCCCTTCCAACTTTATCATCATTATTATTATAAATACTGTGCATACTTAGTGAAAGTTACAATGAGCTAACAACTATCAATATATCATCCCAGGGCTCAGGAATTAAAGGACCACGTTTAAGGGCAGTCTAACTGTCCTAAAGTACACCAGGCAGCAGATATTTCCAGTTCCCAAGCTGTCCAGAAATATACATGGAAGAAGCAATGGTTCCAGCCATAGATTTTTACTAACAATTTACTTAAGGTATAACTGAATAAAGTGGTATGTTCTTAAGTTTTCTCATTTTACCTATGACAATGTAAATATCTTTAAGGATATAGTCAGATTTTTGTTCAGAGAGGACTCCACTTTATAAAATAGACTTTTAATTCTGTTTCTTCTATTCTTCTCTCTCCAAAAATTCTGGATAGTGGTGGATATGGCAGTACCTGGAGATGGCAGAATAGAAAAGAAAGAAATGGAAAAAATACAAAGACCTGCAAGAAGAAGTAGAACAATTGTGGCAAAAGAAAGCAAATATAGTATCAAAAGTAATAAGCACCTTGGGTGCAATCCAAAAACATCTGGAAGCTCCACTTGAGTTCCATCATATTGACAAATCTTCCACAGTCAATTGCAAAAGGCAGCTTTACTTGGAACAGCTTACATCTTGCGACAGTACCTTTAACATCATCAAACATCTGCCTGTTCCCAGGTTTTGGGAAGGATAGGTGGATTAAAAATGCCAAATATAGTCATCTGGCTGACTGCATGACAAACCATAACAATATGGAAAGTAATTATTCCTATACTTAATTAGCATTTTTCCATGCCATTATATTTCATAAAATTATTCAGCCCTATGGTAAGCATTGTGCATATAGCAATAAGGGCTCTGCATAGGATTCATCAGAAGGTTAGTCCATAAACAAACAAGCACGTGCAGCATCTTCAGATTCCTTAAAAACATTATCAAGATACAAAACAAATATTTTCAGGAATGATGTAAAAATATACCATATGTATCCATAGATGTATATGTTAGATGAGGAAATATTAGTATTTTTGATAAAAGGTCAGTGAAAAAATTCAAATAGCTTTCAGAGAATGATGAAATAATTTGAACATTGGATTTTACATTGGCCATTAAGGCAGAGAGTTTGCTCCTTCTGTGTTCTGATTTTTTTTGTTTTTTTTAAAAAAAGGAAACAACAGCAAAGTTAAGTACCATTTTTAACTTGGAGATTTATTTTGTTTTAATAAATCTGACACCAGTCAGGGAGAAGAAAAAAGAACAACAAGAAGCATCTTAAAAATGCTTCATATTTTCCATAGAAATTTGCCTTTGTTAGGCTTTGAGACTCTGTGGGTTCATGAGCACATCCACTCACCTTCTGCCCTCCCTCCCACACTTCACCTTTTTTTTTTCTCGTATTTTTTTTTTTTATAATCAAAGTGAATTTGCTTGTTGGGTGTAATTTTCCAAGCCTTCACAGACCTAATAAATAAGGAGCCCCTGTAAAACAGTAGCTTGACTTAAGTGAATCTGTACAAAGGAAAATATAGAAATACAGTATGTACAAAGTACCGTCAGTGCACCATCGCTATAAAGTTCTGATTTAATTGGCTCTAATTTAAGACCCTGCTCCCAAGCTCTTTGAATCACAATCTTCCCAAATGTTTTTCCCTTTGCTAAGCACAATAGCCTTATAGTGAAGGTGCACTCTGATCACTAGTGTGTGAACAATTGCTTGATTCAAGTTAGTAAACAGTTACACTGGATCACAAGGTGATTTGAACGTATATTTTTTTTTCTCTCATTTTCTCCCCTTAGTATTTTGTCCAAAATGGGATACTTCCCAATTGTTTTACCAAATCAGTGCTCTAGTGTACTTTTGGATTCTTGGCTACAACTATACAAGTGCACACAAGTAAATCTTACCCTGTTATCCTCCACCCACCAACTGAGAATCAGATTGCACATTTCTTTTAACCATGACAGGAGAAAGCAAATAGTGAAACAAAATCATGGGGACTTGCTTCTCACTTTACCCCTGTGTTTTCATTGGCTTGGCCATACCTTTCTAATTATCATGAAAGAGCTTTACATCTGGAGAGATTGTCTCACTGGCTTCCTGGATCACTGCAAAACCATCAGGGTTGAAATTTCATCCACGTCTTTCATAACACCCAGCAAATATTTCCCCCAGATAGTTTTACACCTTGAGGGGATCCTTCTTTCTTTTTCTTTTTTTCTTTCTTTTTTGGTCTTTAGTTCAACACTCTTGCTCTGTTCCCAAAAGGGGTGCTATTTAGGGGAATTGAAAGAGAAAACCGAGAGGAATAAACATTTACTGAGTTCTCTTGGCATTCAGTCTCTGAAAAACCACAGTATAAACTATTCATGCTGCTTCTTACATCTGTCAAATCAAAATAAAAAAATTAAAAGCCAGAAAAGTGTAACACTGAAAATATGGCATTAAAAAGGATAAAGGTGGCCTTTGTAAAAAATAACACAGAAAAAGTATATTAGCCAATAAAATATTCTAATAACTCTTCATTTAAAAGTGCATGATGGGCAGGAGATAGAGATGACTCTGAAGTGTCAATACTCCAGTATAGCCCCTTCAACCACCTCCCATTAAAACGCGAATAGGTCCAAAACCATACAATGCAAATCACAATTCTTCATGTAGCAGCAAAACCACAGCAGGTTTTTTTTGGGGGGGGGATCCATTTCATTGTCCAACTTCAAATATTTGAATCTTGAAGTCTATGAGGGAAAAAAAAGTACATACATTGGTCCATGTGGCTTTAGAATCAGAGGAAAATCCTCCATCGGCAAGAAACCAAAGGTTTAGGGAGAAGGGGGCAGGGTCATCGGAATGCTGGGAGTACTTTGAGGGGTCCATGATGTGCTTACAGTCTTCTGACCCAAAGGCACCCTAGGGTTTTAGCCTTCCCTCTGAGAGAAATAATGAGGGGAAATGGCTTTGTTTTCTTGATTTCTGACCAGATATGGTGGCGAGTGGACCAGCTGGTGTTGTCTGGTGAAGTAGCTCTGCTCCCTTTCTCCATGCAAGGTACCCTGTCAATATCAGCATTCCTGTAACAATAAAAACAGATGTGTCAACGCCTACACTACGTTATAATGATTCATTGCAGTATTGTATTTGACATAATGAGAATACTCAGTCATAGCATTAAGGTTCTTTCAGAAGTAGAGAAAATAGAAGATTAAGGATGGAAAACATGCAGAGTAAGAAGCACAATCAGAAAACAATATGGTTTGGCTTAATTTACGTTAGTGTATATGAAACCCTGTTCTTCAAATAACTTTTGCAATACAATCTACCAAATTCTTCTTCAGAAAAATCCAATTGGTTACAGAATTTCGTTGGAAGCAATACTTGGCACAACTTTCCAAACTTCTAGACCTGTCAGTGGTTATAAGCTCAAAAATTCTATTTCCATTTAATAATTTAAAGAAAAGAGATGATAACTCAAAATAATTTTGAATGTTAAACAACTCTTCCTGTGGCTTAGATTTATTTCCTGAGCCTTTCATCTGAGATCTTTCATCATGCACTGAAACAAACAAAACTTTTGGATTAGAGACAATAGAGGAATAAATATGCTCTCTATGGACAATGATATTGTATCCCTTTCAATTGTCTGAAAAACCCATCCTCTAGATTTGGATACCAGTTCCATCATTATATCATTGTCAATTCAAGTCAAGATATTCTCTGATTCTTATATTTATAACAATTAAACCTGTTTCTTTACATGGTCTCACTGAGTAATTTCATAGTTTAGGAAAAAAAATATTCAAGAGCAGAGAAACTAAGCAAGCTAATCAAGCTAATCAACATAAGCCAATGACCCTGTTCCTTCCTACCATAACTAACTGCATGCTGTAATTCCAAAGTGGAACTGATGGAAGAGGTACTAGGAATAGACGATTCTATATTATCCTGTTAGGTGGCATTTTAATTTATCAAGTATCAGTGCTTGTATATGAAAGAATATCTTGTGGTTTTCAGAAATATTCAGGCATTGTATCTGGAATCTGAAATATCATAAACCCAAATTATAATAGAGTAATTACTTAACTCACTTCTGTATGAACGGGGCATGTGAGATCAGAGGAATGTTGATCATAGGATATGAATAGGCAGGGTTGCATAGTATTTACCCTTTCCCCCTTTTCCCCCCACATGAACAGCCAGCTCAATTGCACAGAAACTTGAGCACAGTAGTAACTGTGAGAGGGGCCTTGGAGTCCTAGTGGACAATCACCTAAATATGACCCAGCAGTGTGCTGCAGCTGCCAAAAAGGCCAACACAGTGCTGGGCTGCATTAACAGAGGGATAGAATCAAGATCACATGAAGTGTTAATACCACTTTACAATGCCTTGGTAAGGCCACACTTGGAATACTGCATCCAGTTTTGGTCACCGCAATGTAAAAAAGATGTTGAGACTCTAGAAAGAGTACAGAGAAGAGCAACAAAGATGATTAGGGGACTGGAGGCTAAAACATATAAGGAATGGTTGCTGAAATTGGGTATGTCTAGTTTAATGAAGAGAAGGACGAGGGGAGACATGATAGCAGTGTTCCAATATCTCAGGGGCTGCCACAAAGAAGAGGGAGTCAAGCTATTTTCCAAAGCGCCTGAAGGCAGGACAAGAAGCAACGGGTGGAAACTAAGCAAGGAGAGAAGCAACCTAGAACTAAGGAGAAACTTCCTGACAGTTAGAACAATTAACCAGTGGAACAACCTGCCTCCAGAAGCGGTGAATGCTTCAACACTGGAGGTTTTTAAGAAGAGANTGGACAGCCATTTGTCCGAAATGGTATAGGGTTTCCTGCCTGAGTAGGGGGTTGGAGTAGATGACCTCCAAGGTCCTTTCCAACTTTACTTACTACTATTACTAGATAATGGCCCTAATAGTTTTCATTTTCTAAAATAATAATACATTGATTAATCTGTCTTGTAATTTAGTTTGTTAACATTTCTTAAAAGATATATTTGAAATATCTTAATTTCTGTGCTTATTCAATCTATCTCTATGACACTGATAATTCACTCTATAGTAGGTGGAATCACATGATTCATGAAGCACTGGAGAAAAACACTATAAATCTGCCTAACACAACCTCATTTTTCCAGTTTTGCTTTTTAGTGGAACTGATTGAAAAAGTTGGCACAACTGGAAAGCCCAGTTTGCACCTTCAATCTCATATGCTACTCAGTTACCTGAAAAATATTGAGGATTTATCTTACATTGCTTGGACCAGATACAATATGAACATCTTGCCTGAAAACAGTCAATTTCAGAGTTGCTCTACAATTTCACTGGTCTATACATAAAAATGTCATCTTGTCAGTATACTAACAAGTATGTTTAATGAATTCTAAATTCATATCCCAATACAATGAATAATGAAAAATGTATAGTATCCAAGTTGAGCTTGATTCCTGGTGACTTTATAGACCACAACTATATAGGTTTCCTGGCAGAAATATAGAAGTGGTTAGTTATTGTCTTGTTCATAGATTTTTTTTAAACCAAGTTTCTCAATCTAGCCTACAACCTTGAAATTCATCCCACCCAATTATTAACCAAATCTAACCCCACTTAGCTTCTAAGTCCATTCAAGGACAACTATGTCCCACCAACCAAGACAATTAATATTATGAGCTTATTATTCATAGCTGACATTGTAAGAGTTCCAATACAATAAAAGGAAAGTTTTAGCTATTAGAAAAATGTTGATATAGACAGACAGTACACTATTATCTTTAAGTGATTGTAATGTAGTAATTAGCACACTGAGCACAGTATATGAACATTGATGATGGTGGTGGTGGTGGTGATTTGCTTGGCTTCTTTGGAACAGGAATGAGATCAGATCAAAGTCAAGTCCATGTTTTTCTTAAGGAGATTCTGCTGAAATAATCCTAAAAGAGATGGTATGTTCAGACCCACATATACTTTGGGATTGCACTTCATTTGTATGAATTCTGTTCTTTTCAAATTTTGAATGCATTCAACATTTTTACTGAAGTCTCTGCTTTCGAATAATTATAAAATGGTTCTCTCCTATAAAATAAATGGCATTACATCATTGAAATTGGGAGAAGCATATTATTTGATGAAAAATAAGTATGTGGGAGCCACGGAGAAAGCAGTATGTAGCTGAGCATTTTTAGTTAGCACTAGCTACTATTAACATTCAGTGTATTTTGTTTTCTACATCTAATTTCTTAGCTTCTCCTCTTCTAGCTCTGGTGTATTTTCTCCAAAACTGGCTTTTTTTTAAAGTTCACTATATTATACTGTGGCTTAGAAGAGCTATATGTATTTGGTACTATTCCTTATTTATAATTAAAGAATTAAGTCTGCACAGATTTGACATATTTTTATTTCTTTTAATTTCAACTTCAGGAGAAAATGTTCTTGTTTAAATATTAGGAATTCCTGAGTAACCATATGCTTGTGCTATGCATCTCACTAAATTGGAATTCAGGAACTCTACTTTGATGCAATTGATGTTGTATGTTGTTTTCCTTGCCTTTGACTTTAAGCTCTCAAGCAGTATGTTGCTTGAATATCAAAGCCCTGCTCATTTTTAAATAAATTGCAGTATTGAGGGAATTGTGGTCTTTTGTGCTACTAGACTTAATTAGGACGTTGTGTGGATGTGGGTGCCTTCAAGTCAGTGTTCACTCCTAACAGTTGCCTGGATGGATCCTTGCAGTTTTCTTGACAAGTTTCCACAAGTGATCTGTCATTGCCTCCTTGGGGGGGGGGAGGAGAGAGGGGGGGGAGGGAGAGAGGAAGGGAGAGAGGGAGGGAGAGATTGACTCAAGGTCACCCAGCTGAATTGTGTGTAAAGTAGGATTAGAACTCATGGTGCCCCGGTTTTTAGCTTGATGCTTTAATCGTTACAGAAAACTGGCTCTCACTGGGGATCTTGGAAAATCTTATTATCTTTTTGTAATAAGTTGCATATAAGTCCATCCTCATTGTCTTTCATGAACAGAATAATCTGTGGCACCCATTCTGTACTTGTACTGTTTCTACATTTTAGTATAGTTTTCTGCAACCTTGGCCTTCCACATGTGTCAAATTACTGAGGATCAACATCTCTGGAGGATGCTGCATTGGAGAAATCTGCATTAAGGTTCAATCAGCTGCAGGCTTCAACTTTGGCTTCAACTTTAGAAACATTTTAGCAACACTGGGAAAACTAAGCCAGCTGCTGGGTGGATATTCTATTAGATGGAGACGTGTTAAACTGGAATATCATTCTTTCAAATACCAAGAAGTCTGGGGAAATAAATCCCTGGATACCAAGAAAGAGACCTAACATTGTGGAATGTACTTATGTAATGGGAAGTTAGCACCTGATTTTCACTGAGTTAAATAAACAAGTTTCTTGTTAGGGCATAAAATTCAGCTGTTTTGCCAGGCTTGTAGAATTTTCATATTTACCTTTTTTCATTCCTTTTCTGGTGCACATATATATTTTCCAGCCACAAACACCTTTCACAAGGGGTACAACAGTTCCCACATGGTACCTAATAGACAATGCACAGTGGAATCGAACAATAAGGCTCAAATCTAGTACAATATTTTACTATTATTTAATTCATTTTTATCCCCACCTTTTTGAGGGTTCAAGGCAGTTCATGCAAGCTCAAAGTGGCTTACAAAAATCCTGTGTGTTGGGTTGAGCGAAGTATAACTAGCCTAAAGTCACCAGGTGAGTTTTATTGACTGAACAGGAATTGAACCTGGTTAAGTTATGAAGACATTAAAACACAAATATATCTGGTGATTTGCAGAGATTGGAATACAGTTTCAACCATTCCCACAAAATAGCTGTGTTGGAATTTTAACTCAATATACTATCTGGAGACAGCATTTTATTCCAAAATTCTAATTATTTTTATTGAAAATTTTGATTCATTAAAAATGTAATTCTCTATTTGAAAGGATAGAAATGTAGTTTTAACATATAACCCTTATAATGCTTCTCCTTTCCACTTATTGTCTCTAACAAGCAGCCATCTTGTCTGCTGTATATACGTA